TGTTTGCAGAATCGTCGCCCGGCTGTCATCTTTGCCGCACGTTTTTTTCGGCTTGAGCTGGAGTACTACTAGGACCCCAACCAGAAAGTGATCTGCCTCTTGATGGTTTGATTGGGTGTCCAGGTTTGCTAAACAACCACTTCCGCGCAGGCCTGGGAAAGTCATTTCTATGGCCACCTTTGATGATCTCAAGCAATTCTCCTCCACTCAGCTTCCGGCCTTTTTCCAGCCTCTCTCGCGCTTGAGATATCAGTCCTTGCCATTAGTTTTTTCACGAAACGCCTTGCCGCCTTGCAAAGAAACTGAAGCCTATCTTGGCAGCTACAGGATCCAAGTCGTTCAAGGGACCATCACTCAAGAACCCAGCGGCGGTGGTGGTGTATCAAAGTTCTTGCCGCATTGGTGTTCTGCAAAGTGACGGTTTCCAGCTCCATCATCATGCTCTGTGTGACTGTGTGTATCCAGTAGCTTCCAGTGAGGAAATGACGACGACGGCATCCTGCAAATCCACATACAGTAAGAATGTCCTCCAATGGGCAGCTGACAAAACATCATAAAACATCAACATGGTTGCTCCTCAGCTTGCTCGTTGGGATTGCTCTTCTTCAGCCGCCACCTGGAACAATGGCCACACCCATCGGATTCAACAGCAAAACAGGCCATGAAAGTTGCAGCATATTATTGCAGCAATCGTCGTCACTCGTCTGACTCTCTGTCTCTCCCTCCCTCCTTCCTTCTCCATTGGCTACAAGCCCAGCATGCTTGGCAACACACTGCCCTTTCCCCTCGTCACATTCAACTGCGGTATATGGCTGTGGGTCCAAGAACGGGGAATGCACATGAACAGAATGGTCAACCTACCAAGGCTTAGGGTGTTCCTACCAAGCCTGTGGGCACCCAAACATGGTCAACCTACCAAGGCTTAGGGTTGTTTGGGTGCCATGACCCACAGCTTTATCTGCACGATCGGAGGGACGAGGCGGTCTGCACCTTCCAGCTGGTGGATGGTCTCTTGCAGGGCGCGGATCTCCGCACTCTCGGGATCCAAGGCCGCCGCCTGGGTCGTCAGTGGTTCTGGCCAAAGCTGATGGGTGGGGAAAAATGGGAAGAAGTGGACCAACCACAGGGATTTCTGTGGGCTTTTAAAGCCCTATGCCAAAGCAGGTCAGTGAGGATTTCATGGTACAGAGCACAAAAATGTACAAAATCGATATAAGAGCTGATATTCAACGGGCGCTGATAGAATAACAATGATGAATTTGGACTGCTTTTGATGGGCCATGCCTATGCTGTCACCCAAGTCAGTCGTCCCAATAAATCCCAAAGGCATTCTTGCTGTCCAAAAGGCCTTGGTGGCACTTTCCCAAGCACCGGCCAGGTCGGAGAGCTCCTAGGCAGCCAGGCGCCAGGCTCTCAGCCTCCCCCAGGTTTTTCTGTAGATCATGGACCCTATCACAAAGGAACCCCTCGTACCCCTAGCTGCAATAGCTCCTTTGGAAAAACACCAATCAGTCAAAATCAGTCACCAATCACATGGACAAGGTCAACGAAATGGCGGCCAACTGCACCTTTTAGTCCAGAATCGTCCCAAGTCCACTGCACCTTTTGTTGTGAGCCACTTCCAGGTCATGAGCCACCACCCACTTGCACCCTACCCACCTAGGCAGCCGTCCGAGGGGTCCTTTTGACACAACGCCAAGCGATAGAAGCCCTTGGTGTAGCTGGCATCCACACACGTCGCCTGCTTGGCATCCTCCAAGGCCTCCCCGTACCTCCGGGTCCAGCGGGTCCGGTCTGGAGAGTGGGGGACTGAAACATGGCTGAGAAAGGAATCATACTGTATATGGATCATTATGATGTCTTTATTTTTCCATCACACAAGCATAACTAACTAACATCTATATATGCAATCTGTTCCACAAATTAACATGCATCATTGGATGTTGGACAATTGTGTGATGACATTTCGGGTGGCCAACTTTGAAAACACACCCGCCATGACCAGGACCTTCACTTCATGGCCTCTTCGGAGTATCTCGTCGTGAGCTTTTTGTGAGGGACCGACTACGTCGTGACCATGGACGGTCACTGACTGAAGGTCCTGGCACATGAAACACATGTCCTTTGCCTTTGCCCCCAACATCCCCCAAGATACCAGTACCTGTGATGTTCGACTTGCAATCACTTGTGTGGCAAACATGATGTTCACCTTCCTTGGCTGGGCCTCTCCTGCAAACATGTCACATAATGTGTGTTTATTGTTCTTTTAAAGAATCTTTCCCGCACAGCGGTCAGCCTCTGAAGGTTGCACTGATGTGAACTTCCATCCAAGAAGTGTTAGAAGATCTTGGTTGGCCCTCCCCACCCTGGCAACCTTATTTGATCAACCAAGGCTGTTTCTGACTCCACTGTTTTGTGGGCCAGGTTGATCTACATATCAAGGATCTGCACCCTTGCAAACACAGCCACATCTCTCTCTGCCGCGCCTTCCCAGCAACATGAAGCACCGGCAGCGGTTCCCCAGCACTTCCGCCCGTAGCCGGTGTTGGGCACCGCGGTCGACCTCCCCGCCGGGCGACTCGAAGAGGGCGATGGCCTCGGAGTAGAGCTCCAAGGCGCGCCTTGAGGCAAGCTCGTGTGGGTGGGACCCAATGTCCCCCACAAACCAACATGGATCTTCAACATTGACCCATGGAAGACCATCCAATCCGCTATATCCGCTTTATCACTAATTAGTGACTAATTACAACCCAGTGGTTTTGGGGTTCCTTCTGCAGGGAGGAAATATGATGCCCCATCAAACGGCTGTTTGGCATGACTGCCCTCGAGCTATGGCTGGAAGAATCACAAGAAAACGGTCAGGCGGTGACGACGGATAGTATGCCACTACTTAGCTTAGCGCGGAACGTCTTCTTTGAGCTGCTATCCGAACATACCAATGTTTCTGATGAATGTAGGTCCATACTTTGAGCTTCAAAGGATAAAGACAAGGTGCCTAGGTGATGCACCCAAGCTCATCTGACAGAAATTGAAGATGCTCAAGGATTACAACAACAAACACAACACATGAGAACGAAACAAACAATTACTGTACATGATAAACAAAGAACCCCTAGAGTGGTCATGATGCCTTTGACTGGGGCCCACCTGGTATTCTTCGCTTTGAATTCTCCGTTGCCCTCTTCCTTCAGCTGTACGATTCGCTCAGCCATGTCGGCCCATGGCACAGCGCGCAGGATGTGCAAAGGATGTGTGCGCTTAGCAAGCCTCTACTGACCATGGCTGAGGCCAACATCACCAACATCCCACGATTCCTATCCCAAACACTCCATCTAGGGGCTGTTTCAGGGGTCCATGTAGGTATTTAAATATGCCATACATGGAGTGTTTGGGTATTGTGGGTGTACCCGGTGACTTGCAGGATCTGGTCCGGAGCGCAAGAACCCCCCCGACAAACACATTCTGGTCACAAATGCCTCACCACAAGAATGGCTGGAATGGGGTATCCCATGGTATATATGAGGGGCATCATTCCAGTCGAGTATTCCCACAGAATTATCGGGTGCTTCTTGGGACCCTGCGAGCCTTGAGCCGGAAGTCAATGTGCAAAAGCCATATCCATGAATCAAATCATTAAACGGAATATCCATCTAAATACATTATACACATACATGTCGCGATGTCAATGACAAGAAGACTCAGTGACCACATATTTTAGATAGCACTTACTATATAGTACTAATTAGTTATTAGACTTTTCCTTGCAAAAATGGCTTTGGATGGTACCTCATCTTTGGGCCCTACGGATTCACTGGGCTGTTTTGTATGTAAATGTGCGGCGTTTAAAAGTGCCCAGCATCGGCGTTTCCAGCAACATTTGAAAGGGCAGTGTCCAGCACAGCTCAAACACCCGCAAATCCGGTCGTGGCGAGCCATGGCTGACATACTCTTTGAGCAACGCAATCCAAGAGATTGGAACAGATTGTCGTGTGATCCCTACCTATCAAGGGGGGAACCTTAAAAAACCGATATCTGGAGGATTCTGGATCCATGGAACATGAACCTAACCAGTTCGTTCACCCCAGCGCGCCCACGCAAAGTTGCACCTGGCCCACAACTCGTCAGCGCAACGTCGGCAAAGGCAGCGGAAGCCATAGCGCCTTGGCTGCAAAAAACACAGGAGGCCCATCAGCCGAGCTGCGACGAGCCTGGTCCATCAAGCAATTGATGTATTTCTAAATTTTTGCCATGCTTGCAAATGCCAAAAATGATCAACCTAAGCTAGCATAGCGGGCTGCCGGATAGAAAAACCTCCATTTGCCAAATGCAGGTTCTTACCTCGAACAAGGCGTGAAATCGACTGGACACCTATACATCTTATGTCCGCCCATGCAGCCATCACAACATGTATTGAAATAGGGAGTCTTCCCAGTTCGACCCCTTGGAAGAAGGAATGTAGATGTAGACCAGTCTATACCATTGGTTGGGAGACATCCTTTTTTGAAATGCATACTCATACTGAGTGATACTCCTTGCGGCGGCCTTGCACCAACCTTGCCATACCAACCGCCGCCTTGAGCGCTCCACTTTGGCGACCCGGCTACCACACCTCCGCGGCCACGACACGCTGAGCGCCCCGACCGCCACAAGCTGCGCCGCCGCGAACGCAACGGCTTGGATTCATCGATGTAGCTAATGGTCAGCTCCTTCTTTTGGCAAAGCATGCAAAGGCTATGGCCCTAGAGTGGGGAGAACCTCAATTATGAGAAGAGAAGCATGGCAAAACACAAAAGAAACACCTCTGACGGACCACAGCCATCAATTCCCACCCCTTTGTGCTATGGACTTTTCAAGAACAGCCCAGTTGAGGGGCCTGTTGAGCTATGCTGGTCTAACATTTAAAGCGTGTGACCAATAGTTGATGTAGCCACTGAGTGCAGCTGCAAATCCACAGTCGTTGGAAGTGACAGTTTGTTGTGACAGTTGAGATGTGGACCGTGGTGTGTGCAAATATTTGATGTGTTTCCCTTGTAACTGTAAGTTTGATGTCACATTTCAGTACATGTAAACAACCAAGCTTTGCAGTTATGGAATCCTAGAAGTAGCCACGGTTTTTTTGCATGGAATTAGTTTACCAATACAAAAAATTGCTAATGTACTGTATGAGCTTTGTTGGGGGGGGGCGCATGCCTTTAATGTACTCAATGCTGCATCTTTGACATGGGTGAATCCTGGAACCCAAGATTTTTGCATATGTTTGTTCATATGAACCTAAATTGTAAGAGGTTCCTTAGAGAGAGCAAAGTATTTTTCCATTGTCCTGGCACTCCCCATGTATCCTGGCTACCTCACAAAACATGCAAAGCCAACAGCGCATTCTAATTATGAAGACAAGAACTTCCTATCATTTCATATAGAGGGAAATAGCCTGGACCTCAAATATAAGTGCCGTGTAAACAAACGACAAGCCTCAAAGTGTGTGTTATCATGTTTCCTTCAATTGCAACAGAAATCATTTACATGCACTTGATTTTTAGAGAGTAGATCCTGTGCAGTGTTGTGTCCTTTCACTTCGCCAACCCAGGATGTGAGGACGCTGAAAGGTCGTTTTGTTGGAACAACCCTTGATGACCGATGCAGTTCTTAGGACCCCGCCACGGTGCATGGGAAGGTCCCCGACGACTTCGGGTAGTCCGTCGCGCATCAGTCGAGAGAATTATATGAAACAATTGCAGGAAAGAATTACAAACATGCAAGTCGCACATCAGTCGACAGCGAGGGAGCACGCGCAACATTCCAGCAAGTCGCACATCAGTCGACAGCGAGGGAGCACGCTCAACATTCCAGCTGCCAAACCTGGCGCAGGGCATTACTCAATCTTGCTCTCCAAATGGAACTGCAAGTAATTAGCCAGGATGGCTCCTCCTTTGACCCGGCAACTTTAATTGTCTGGCGACAGCCTCTTGGCTTCAGTGGGTGGTGGCTGTGGGCATCACCTCACTACCTACCTATCTACCTGTATAGACCAAGTCATAAACCCCACCATATACATCTTTGCTTACCTTGTTTCTTGTGTGCTACCCAGACTTTTTCTACTGCAATTTTATGTGAAAGCTACATTTCCAGTTATGATGGATTTGGTTGTCAAAACAAATCTCTTGTGTTCATAATTTTGACATTTTGCTCCATCAATCTCACAGGAGTCTGGAACTATAATTTGGAAAGAAATTATTCGTTCAATTATGCTCTAGGCCTTGCGCACTCACTTGCATTAAGTTCTCGAGCCCAGGAATGCAGAATCGGTTTGAATAACCTGGCTACTAATTTCAAGTTCCTTCTGTAATATTTTTTGAGGGGAGGGGTGGTCATCAGAGTCATGGCTTGAGCACAGAAACCTGGTCCTCAGCTTTGTATTGTTCAGTTTCGAGTGTCCAATCTACATGTAGTTTACCAAGAGTGCATTTGCATGAGCTCACTATGAAGCTGTCAAGTGGTAGAACCAAGATTTTTTACGAAAAGCATTATGTGATCTATCAGGTTGCAAGACGGTTTGAGGTGGGGGTCAGAAAATCACCGTTACTTGCACACAGGCGTCTGGACTGCAGCTTCCAATGTCTAAAGGCATTCCTTTCGCTATTTCCTTGAAGTGGGTGAGTCCTGGGATCTAGGACTGTCTTTGTATGAAAGTGGTGTATGAAGAGAAGAATTTCGTATCGTTTCATACGAAGGGAAAGCCTTGACCTCCAAAAAAAGTGCAGTATAAACAATTGACGAACCTGTGGAAAAACACAGTCTTAAAGTCGTGTGCTTTCTTGATGAACATGTGCTGCAACAGAAATCATTTAGTTGTACTTCTTTTTTAGGGAGTAGATCCTACGCAGTTTTGTTGAGAGCTTGTGGTTTCAATTTGTTGAGTCACTGCTTCTTGGACCTGTTGTTCAGGTGCCCAAGCCTCAGTTTCAAGACACACGCACATTTTCCACAACTGAACACTGATTGCACTGTTAAAAGATCTTTTTATAGAAAAGGCAAAGTTGTATGGATCTCATACTTCTTTAATTGTTCCTGGAAGCTAGGATCACAGGATCTTCGTTCATTCAAGCAGTGAACCCATGAATCTTAGTTCTTTGCTTCAGGTTGATCTGAGTTACCTCTGGGGTTCTCCAAGGCTCAAAGCTCCTGTGACAATGAGGCGCTTGATCAGACATTGCATTGTCAGTACTACTGCGTGCATTCCCTTCAGCTTGAGCTTGTCCCCTCACACTCCGTTTTTCTCTCTTCTTGGCAAGTGTAGCACAAGTGAAACATGGCCTCATCCTTCCAAAGGCTTACCGGCAAGGCTTGGAGAAACTTAAGCAAATGAACTGACTGATGAAATTGAGAAGAACCAAGGCAGACAAGAGCACACTTTGATGAGGATGCTGATGATGAAGCTGCTGACTCACTTAGATTGCTAAGCAACATATACTTCTTGATGAACAAACAGTAGCATGCACCCAGTGTACTTCAAGACTTCTGGTGTAGGAAGTGATGTTGTTTACCCTCTCCGAACTGCCATAGATGTCAGGGCTGAAACCTCATGTGGTTTGATATCTCAGATCCCAAATAAATATATAGTGTGGAACCTCCAGCTCAGGCAGTCTGAAGTGCCTTGTCAGGTTCGTCAGCTCACTTTTCAGGCCATTGCACACTGACTGGCGGTATGTCAGCTTGTCCACAGGTGTCCTTTTGGTGTTGGACTTGTGGAAATAGACCGGCCGTGTGGGTTGACTCAAATTGACATCAAACACTCTATGCTTGAGACGCAAAGAACTCTTTTTTCAACTGGCAGGCGGCAGGAGTACATCCTTGGTCGGCTGGAGGCCGCACGCGAGAGAGCCCTTAGATTTCATGCCTTAAGGAAGTCTCAAGCCAGAATGGGCGTGGAGTTTTCTCTTGTGAAGGTGTTCTCTCGCCACACGCCAAAAAAAGACTTTGGTAGAAAGAGCGAGGGCGACTCCCCACACAAATATGTGCATACAATGGCCCGTATGTATAAACAAATCTAAATTTGTATGTAATATATATACATATATAATCCCCATGTCAATTTAGGGTAGGGGGTCTGGACACCCATTTTATAGGTATAAAATTGTGGGACCCACCCCCCTATACAATGCAGGTACCCAACCCAAACTGTAAAACTTTAAAACCATAAAATCACAACCCCCCCAAGCGCCATCAAACACCATAATCTCATTTTACACCTATGCATGGCAGCCCAAACAAAAACA